TCAGACTCAAGAGGCAGTATCCCTATTGTGTGGATTTTCTTCCCAAATATTACAAATGTATGACAGGCTAATGAATCTAAATATTCAAATGAAATGATGGGAAATAAGATTAAAAGAATAATTTAAAAAATAGCAGGAAAAAGCTGCTCGAAAGAGTTGTGATACCTCAAGCTGGCATTACAATGGCCAGACAATCTTTTAACTTGGTGGCGTTGTTGAAGCAAGCTGTCCACAACAGTTAGAATCATGATGTGAAGTATGAATAAAGAGTGGCTCGGGACATTGGAAACACAGGTTGGAGGAAAGAGCTGGAATTATGGGCACAGAATCAATACAGAAACTGATTCAGTCTTCTAGTAACCTGTGTCTAACACAAAAAACCAATATGGGTATTACCTGGATTTCTCAAATGCCAATATGCAATCTTGGTACCACTTATTAGATAATGCAAATTTTCTGGGCTTAGGTATGTGTGGTAAGATCAGTACCTGATGGTGCTTTTTTTAACATTCCATTTATCATGACCTGAAGTGGGTTGAATTAAGAGAAGAATTGGGTTGCAATGACTGCAAGGATGGCACTGTTAAATCTGTATCGCTGTAATTATTTTAATTCCACACCCCAAAATCACAGAGTCTATGGCCCAGGTAAGCAGGGGCAAGCCACGATGTCTAAGCAACGCATGCTGGCAGTTTATTATCTTAGAAGGCTGCAGTGAAGAGTTGCAGTTCTGGTGTAAGTTGCAGGGGGTATAATCAAACCATAGATTAATCCACACCACTCCAACACAGAGTGGAAGAAAAAAAAAGTCCTGTGTTGAATAGCCAGGAAATGGCTGGTTCATCCTCACAGGAAATGAGTCACCCAAAAGCATCCACGAGGAGCAGCGAAGACAGGGAAGCTCTGAAATAACATGGACTGATAACAGAAAAACGCATGCAGATAAGTCTCTCATTTTGTCACAGATTAGAAAGAGGGAAAGAAACGTAAAATGTGAGCTCTTGTGATTATACTTGAAATTTTAAGTTGATATAACTACTCGCAGCACAAAAAAATACGTGTAGATATAGTCTGGCAGTCCTGTTAAAAGGTGAAATCAGAATGTGCAATGGCAACGCTAAGAAAAGTTCCAAGTGCAGATATACTTGCCTGCAAAGTGCTTTTCAACTTTGTCACTGGAAGGGAGGCCTCAAATTGCTGTGGTGGCACAGCTGTCAAAAATCCAGCTTAGGGAACTTGTAAGTTGGTTAGAAACATTTACTTCTATTTAATACTGAAAGTATATTAAGCTCAATTCCAAACCAATTTATCAATTACCGATGGGTACACTTTTTGATAATACTTCATGCTGCCAAATTCTTAGGATCATCTTAGTATCAAAAATACTCCCCGTGCTAACGATATATACTGCTTGTAAAACCACAAATCTGCAGTTAAGAAATGAACTTTCCGCAAGCACTGGAACTAACTTCGCCAGCTCTCCGGCGATCCTCTGTGTACCCACACCTCTTCCTCCAATAACCCCAGCTTTCTGCCTGTGTGGCTTATGACTTCTACCGTGATACTTCTGGTCCCTCTCCCTTCCCTTCCCTTCGGTATGAGCTGAGTGAGAAGATACCTGTGCTCTCAGTAGTTTTGAGCCATGTGTGAACTGGCTGGCCGATCAGAAGCCATACGTGTCTTTTTGTTGGACTGATAAACGCAGCAGTGAGTTTGCTCCTTCTCTGCTAGCTCTAGACTAACCATTTCCAGAGCTGTGATGTGGCATCATGAATGATGCACAAAAGAATGTTCTGGCATCCTAAGATGTTGCTAAAGCTGCAAATACTCTTTTAAACAAAACAGCCATGTTAATTGAAAGGGGTTTAAAATAAATGAAAGCAACAAAAAGAAACAAAAGTATTTGAAACGGCCCCTGCCCCCCCAAGTTTCATTGGGACTATATTAGTAGCAAAGTTATATATGAAAGAGTTTCCTGGTTTAGGACCTTGCAGGGTACTGTGAATAATGGGGGAGGAGGGGAACTTGCAGGGAAACAACTGTCATTAAAAACAGTATCTAGGATATACCATTATGCACAGTAGTTTGGGTTCCTGAACAGAGACCATATTTCAGGAGGGTTCTTACTTTCAAGTCACTGATAGAAACGTTGAGTGGAAGAGGAAGGGGAAAAAAACTTTGCTAGTTTGCAAAGGAACAAAGTTATGTAGAGAAGTGTCCTGTGAACGTAGTACAGGCTTCAGAGCTATTTTAAAAATACAAAAGAAAAAAGGCAGGAAAAGGGTCTTTTTTGTTTCAGAGGGTTTTTCTTCCCTGCCTGGTAAATTAAATTCAAAGAGATAACATAGGCAGGAAGGGCTTAAAAAGAGAAAAACCTGGGTGTGTCCCGCCAAGGCCTTTCTAGCAAGTGAGTAACCAGAGCCTGGGGGAGGGTGGGACCATTTTGCTGGATTGTACAAAAGAAGCTGATTCATATTTTTTCCCTTCTCCGTCCTCTTTTTTTTTTTCACATGGCCATTTTCATGTGGGTTTCTTTTTCAAAACAAACAAAAAGATATACAGAGGCAGGTCTTTCTCCCAGCTGTTTTTTTTTTTTTATATAAAGTAGTATTTTGTTGTTAAATACATTTTCCTGTTTGGCCCAGAGAAAGACTGTGCATTACCCAATAGTAAGTATCGTTAGTCAGTTTGCTACCATAGTATCCGAAAAGACGCTGTCTAAAAAAATCTGTTAATGTTACAGGAAAATGTCTGATAAAATGTTGCATAATCATCATTTCTGCTAGGACTGTGGAAAATCCGAGTGAGCTTGCACGAACCTTAAAAGAGTCTTTTAAGTTAGACCTCAATTGCACAGGAGAGGTCTTTGAAAAGTAGTAATTCTTTGATGACATCCACCTGTGTTTGCTTTTCCAAAGATACCTGAAAAGCAGCTGGGATATCTGCACATGCAATAAACTAATGTCAAAAGCCACTAGAAAATCATATACTGTTCTTACGAGTGATCAGTATCTAGCATTAATGATTTTTTTCAGTGTCTTTGCATCATGTTCAGGGTACCCTTCTTTAGGGTACACGTCTTTACAAGTGGACAGAAATATCCCATATAAAAAAAAAAAAAGGAGTGATTCTGTCTCCATACCATCCTCTACTATGGAGAGATTTCTTACTTACAGTATATAAAACAGATTATTCTGAAGGGAAGATGAAGTGAAACACCTCCACGGGAAATACAGCTTAGAATAGACATAGTTCAAGAAAGTGCATTGTGGCTTGTGAGATGGGAGTTAAATTCCTGCTCTGCTTTGATCAAATCACTTTATCTCTCTGACTCTCAGCTCAGCAACTCTAAAGTGGATCACATAATCCCATCATTTTCCCATTCTTTGCCTCATCTAAGTTGTAAATCTCTTATCTGTGGCAGAAGCTGAGCCTTTCATATGCAGTACCTAGTAAAATAACTTCAGTTTCAGATGAGGCCTTTAGTCGCCTGTAGCAATAGGTAAGAACATACTTTTTCTACATTTTAAACTTCACTGCTGGAACAAGGGCCAAATGGCTGGGGAGCCCAATAAACCAAAGATATGGAAATTAGAGTTACAGCTCTTGGTTAAGATCCAAGCTCAATGGAAGCTCTTGCATTTCACAAATGGTGACAAGAGTGAGGCATTAAGTTGGTGTCTGGTCCTGGCCACCAAAATATCTGAGCGTTGCCCTTCTCTCTGAGAAAAGGCGGCATCTGGCCATAAGAACCAAGACAGTAATACATGTTTGGGAGAAAATAATAGATGGTTTCACTTTAACTTTTTTTCCCCCCATATTCATGTGTCTAGTACACGCTCCAGAAAGAAATGGGAGTATAAAATGCATGTCTGTACCTGTCAAAGTTACCTGACGTTAAGCAGAAACACTGCCTAAGGATAAGACTCTGAATTTCATTTGCAGTATTTTTTTTAAATCTTTTTCTGAACCTTCACCTATGTACCACTGACACGGCTGTGTTACAGCTCAGGTGCTTCCATCAGTGGCACTGATCTATATTAGTGTTTTACAGTTTACCACTGACAATAGAGGCGGATTGGCAGAATCGTACAAATGTTTTCAGGAAAATGTCAAAAGTGGGTGTGCTGGTGAGGTACGAAGGATCCTTTCTACAGTAAGACCAGTATTATGTTGCCTAGAAACTCTCAAAACAGGGTTGCAGCTAATGAAGCCAAGATCAATGTGGACTGGACATTTGATATTTGATTCAATGCTACACAAGGGACTTGTAGCAAGGTCTGGGACAATTAATTCTTGTGCTCCAGTCAACAGATAGGGTTATGACAAGTGAGGCAAAGAAAATGAGTAATTGCTAGTAGAATTCCCAGTGAGCAAATATTGTCTATATTTAAACAGAGACACGTAGCATTTTATCTGTGGAAGCAAACTGCTTTACAGAATGATGTTAATGGAGAGGAACCAGCAACGTCCTGGTGGATGGGAGGAAGATCCCGAGACCTGCTCGGCCTCCATCAGGATCCCAGTCCTCGTGTGCCTGTTGCTGCACAGGAGCAAAGTAAATGCACTGGCACCGTCTACAGCAGGAACTAGACAGACACGTGCTTCTCCCTTTTGTTTTTTTTAGGGGCCTTCATCTTGTGGCACATGAACAAGCTCGACAATCATTTTTAAGGGACTACAGAAAATATCTAATACAAGTAAGTCTGTTGTAGTAGGCTTAAATTTACTATAGATGGCCCAGCACCTGAAAAGGAAATCTTCTAGACGCTTGAAAATCCCCAAAGATAGGAAATCCGTGGATTTTACCTGAATCTCTGCAGAAGTAAGACCTACAGGCAATGACACACATTAAGACTGAAACAAGCTTATCTAATTAACCACTGAGGTCCACCTGACTGGAAAAAGAGCTGTTTTGGTCAGCAAACGGTGTCAGGACTGTAACTTAGGAAAAATATTATCCTGATGCCTGAGCAGAGCAGGTAGGTGTTATGGCTTACCTCACAAGTTCTCTCTCTCTCTCTCTCTCTCTCTCTCTCTCTCTGGGTAATCTTTATCCTTAAGACATTAACTGCAATTAAACAGACTTTATCCTGTATCTTAAATAAAACTTCTAAGTGCTGTCTAGCGCCATTAAAAGTCCCCAGACTGGCAGTGCTAAATAATTAACCTAATTTCGGCGAGGAGCCCGCTCTCCCTTACTCGAGATGGCAACGGACGGGAGCGCGCGGCTTCCCTGCCCATAGCCAACATGGCGGCGGCGATTGGGCCGCTCCCGCAGGCCCCGGCCCGCGCTGCGGATGACAACACAATGTGCACGTTGGGGCCCTTGCCCATAGTCAAGATGGCGCCCAACGCAGTTATCCCATGCCCTGCCCCCAATCAAGATGGTGGATCCGTGTGGTATTTCGGCATCCTTCCCGCTCTCAAGATGGCTCCTCCCAACCGTCTCCCTTCGCCTACCGAATCGCGCCGCGCACCGGCGCTTTGCTCCGCCCCTCATCCCGCCTGCAGCCAATAGGCTTCGCGAGGGGCGCCAGGGCGCCAACCCTCGGAGGCGGGCGATCCCCGCCCCTGCTATCAAGATGACATCTCCGATAGCCAATGGGGCGTTGGCGCGGGTGAGGCGGGCCGGGCGGCGCCGCCATTTTGTGAGTCTATAACACGGAGCGGTTGGGTTCGTTCCTGCTATTCCGGCGCCTCCACTCCGTTCCCGACGGGTCTCCTCCGTGTGCAATGGACGGGTG